TCCAACAAAAATGGTTTTGTTATGTTGTCAAAGGTCCAGATGATCCAATCCAGTAAAAATATTTAGTCCACAACACATTATTCCATCAGTAAATCCCCAGGGACGGCTGCCACATCGTTCATATCTGCCGGCAGACGTGGCTCGTATGTCATTATAACTCTGATTTGAATGTAAACAACTACAATAGCTTGTATTCAAATTAGCCGCTGAACTCTGACCTTTCGAGTGACACCAAATCTGCCCCAATAGGAGCTCACATGTCCGTCTCACAGCCTACAACAGCCAACGAGAGCCCGTAGTTTTAATGTGTTTAAACTTATATTAATCAATTCCAGTAGCACTTACAATCATTCTCTTTTGGGTTCGACACTCCAGAGTGTTTTCTTTCAGAGAAGCCCAAAACCACGGAGCACACAAACAGCACATGCTGCACAGTTTCTGGTTGACTGCAGGCCTCACAAGTTCCAGATGGATGTTTTCCAACAAGGTGCAGAGATGAATTGAACTTTGTGTGACCCAGTCGAACTCTGTCCTCTCCTGCTCTTCCCCAGTGACTTTTCCTCCCCCACTTTCTGCTGAATCTAAATGTCTTCCTTTATTTCCATTATCCCATAAACTCTGCCTCTGCATCTTAACTTTGCTCCGTACATTCGCTTTGATCTCTACTTTGCTAACTGGTACTGCCACCTCTACCGATTTACTTTCAACCCATGTTTAGCTAAAGTGTCTGACATCTCACTCCCTTGGATGCCAATATGTGCTGGGACCCATAAAACCTGAACATCAACCCCCAGACTACTCACTCTGTATAAAGACAACAACATTTCAAACATAATGTCACGTGTGTCCTTCTGACTTTGTAAATTAGCCCAATAATTGGCCCTCAGCTGTTTCCTTCTTAGAATCAGTGGCATTTCTCCAACCTCCAGCTGAAGCGCTGATATTGGTGTTGACTTTACTGCTGCACAGCATAACCTCAATGATGGGCCTGAATTTTATCCAACCTTTTTAAAGATGTTCTAGCAGCTGATCCAGAAACAATACAACCATATTCTAGGACTGATCTAACTAATGCAATATAAATATTTCTTAGCAAACACTGCCTGTTAAACATCTCATAATATTCAGGACTTTCTTACACTTATCTTCCACCTCAAAATGATTTTTCCACGTAAGCAATATATCAAACCACAACCGCAGGAATTTAAAGGTTTCCACTCTTTCTAACCTTTGATTGGACAATTTCAAACAAATATCTTCTTTGACTTCCTTTCTTTTAAAAAGATGGTTTGATTAAACTTAAATCTCCAATTCAAAGACCAATCTTCAACCACACTAACAGCTTCCTGAACTTTCTTTACAACATACTCCAGATTCCTCCCTCGTTTCCAAATTGCCCCATCATCAGCAGAAAGTGATTTCCCAATGTCTGGATGAACCTTCTTATAAACATCATTGATCCTGATTGAAAACAGTAGCGGACTAATGACGCTCCCCTGAGCGCTGCCGTTTTCAGCTAAAAATGCATCTGATGTAGAGTTCCCCACACAAACCTGAATGTAGCTACCAGATAAGAAACCTTTGATCCAGTTCTACATTTTACCTCCAATACCCATTTTATCTCGCTGTATTAAAAGACCTCCTGCGCCTTCTCTATATCAAAGAAAACAGCTAGCACCCCCTCTTTATTAGCTTGAGCTTTCCTAACATCAGTTTCCAAACATATTAAAGGGTCCAGAGTACTACGCCCCCTTCTAAATCCACTCTGAAGTGCTGAAAGAAGCTCATTTCTTTCTAAGTAGTATGTTATTCTTTCTGGAATCATTTTCTCCATGGTTTTACACACATGTGAAGTTAAAGCTGTCGGTCTGTAATGATCAGGATCTGTAGGATCTTTCCCAGGTTTCTTAATCTGAATAATAATTGCTTCTTTCCACCCTACTGGAAGCTTCCCCTCCTCCCAAACCTTGTTCAATAACTCCAGTACTTTACCCAATGCAGAAGCATTTAAATGTTCTATCATAGTAAAGCTCATATTGTCTTTAGCAGGTGTCGTTCTTTTACTCTTACTCAGAGCCCTCCTCAGCTCAGGCACGGTAAAGGCCTCATCTAGAGGACTCTGATTAGAGTTTCTGTTCTCGAGTACCTCCGGGTATCTAGCTAATGTTTGCCGTCTTCTGATTTTACCTTCTTCTGTCAAATTATCTGAACTATGAATGTTTCTTGAATACAGATAACGTCAGGCTTTACATTTAACTGTTGCACATTTCTCTTAAATTCTTGTGCGTTTGCAATCAGGCTTCTGGCGTTCCACTGAAGGATAAGGAAACCCTTTATGAACTTAGTCACTAAACTGAGATGTTCCGTCATTCGGTGCTGACATTTCATGTAACATGTCTACAGTCATCTCCGTGATCCCCAAATAATCTTTTGCTGCCTCAACAATAGTCCTCAGCCTGGACCTTTTCTTTGTCTGCTGCAGCGCTACGTTCACTACCAAACCTATGAAAGCTACAAATGGAAACTTCTCCACTATCAGAGCATCGTCTTTAACTGCACACTTATGTGAACACTTTATGGCACTCGTGTTCTGCGTCTGTGGTAGTTTAGGGAAGTCCTTTGCTGAGAATCTGCTGTCACTATCAATGAGACTTGTTTTGCTGCTTCAGCGTATGATACTTTATTTTGTATCTCTGAATATCTTTTGCTCTTTTTTGAACTCCTCATCCCTGGTAAGCAGCACTATGTTCCCCCCACAGTTACAACATTTAGTTTTAGTGACTACTGCGCAGCGGCCATATTCATGTTCTCCAGCACACCCTTAGATTTACACTGATCTGCCACATGTCCGATTCTCTGACATTTAAAGCAACGTAACGGCTGAGGTACAAACTCCCTCACATTAAAGCTCATGCAGCCAATCATTACTTTCTGAGGCACGTCTCCCTCAAACTGCAGTAGGACAGACTATCAACTAATTTCCCCTGATATCTAGTAGGAAGACGCTTCACTGCCGTGACTCTGTCTCCTTTCATTTCTTTCTTCATTTCTTCAATAGCAATATCTAATGGAACTCCACTGATCGCTCCTCTAACCTTACGATTAGCCCCAGGAACGGGACTTTTAATTTGAACTTCATTCAAGGTCTTCATCTTCAGTATCTGTTGAACTCTACTGACTGCTTCAATCAACATCTTCCCTTTACTCAGAAATCTTGCTTGTCTAATGTGTCCGATCTCTTTGGAAGTTTCACTGGATGTAGTTTACTACCAGAAACTTCTCTGAACTCCATCTCCACTTTCCTCTCTCCCGTCCCGTTTGTTTTCCTCTCTTTTTTCAGTTGGTTCTGTTGTTCCGACTCACTGTGACTGGACACAGAGTTCTTCCTTCTTGGTCTCTTCCATGTTACCTCCTGCCGTTCTCCTCGCTCACCATCCCGTTCACTCGCCATACTCTCAACATTTTCAAACATTTCCACTCCCGGGCTCAAAGACGCCATCCTCCTTCTGCCGCTCTCCTCCTTTCCTGACCTTGATTTCCCATCATGCACTCCTCCAACCAATGACAGCCCACTATTAGACTCCAGCTCAATTAGCACAGTTTTACCAGTTGAACATAAAAATGCTGTTTTTAACTCAACATTATCGTGTTAGAGTTATTTATCATACAACATATAACAGTTTTTAATAAAATACATCTCCATGTTTTTACCTTGTTCATCAACATGAAATGACTTTTAATCTCAGATGAACTTCTAATGAACTCTTTTAGACTCTACTGTTTATACTGGGTTACGCTCCAGTTAAGGTTAATGATAATATTATAATCATACCGCTATCATAAAGTGAGACTGTCACCTGCTGCTGCTGATCGCTCAGAGTCCAACAGCGCAGCAGAAGCTATTTGACATTGTTTATGTAGCTAGCATAGTTTACTGATGCAGCTGCAGCTTCGGCTAACTGTCCTAATGGCTGACTAGCTGATGTTATTTTGTCAGCCTGGCGTTGGCCCTCACTGCTGTGGGTAACCTAGGTCCCTATGTATCATTATAAAATATTAAGGTGGCTTCCCTTGATACAGATGCAGCTGTATGATAAGGCCTATTATTCACCACCTGTAGCATGTTGCTAATATGAACACTTGTGCATTAAGTAAATCCATGCCGTGCATTCATTTAACAAACAGAATATTTCCCAGTCAGTTATTGTTGAAACAGTTTTGGCATTAATAATGTAATGATATCTACAGTGGGGAGAACAATATTTGATACACTGCTGAGAGAGACGCAATCTAAATTGTATGATTTTTAAATGATTCATTTGCATTTTATTGCATGACATAATATGATAAAAATGACAGACCTCCACATGCTTTGTAAGTAGGAACATCAGCAGCGTATCAAATACGTTTGCACTGTACTTAGAATAACTGTGTAAGTAGTAAAACAATAGAAACACACACAGGGCAGTAAAAGTGTGTTTTAAGTTTCGAAACATTTTGAGTCCCCCTCTCTTGCCTCACAGTGGTTTGGTCCTCTGCCTGCTTTCCCTCTCAGGAGTCCGGTGGCAGAAAACCAGTTTGATCCTTCAGTAGTTGTGAAACTGCAGTAATGTTAAGCAGACTGGCTGTTTTATTCACTTTAAACATCAGATGAACTCATTCTTTAGTCTTTAATACAGATGATGCTGAGTCATTAAGAAATTAATCCTGATAACTGATCATTTTTCCACGAGCCCACGATGTTATAACATCAGCTAGCTTGTTTACCAGCTTGTTGGACTGTAAGTCACCTTCTACAGCTAGAGATGTGCAGATTGATCAGCTGGGGACTGAAACAGGCCATTTTGTTTTCGCTTCCCTGACCAGTAACTGGGGCCGAGCAGCTGCACTGTGTCGTGTTTCATGTGTTTGCACAGACAGTAACCTCATGTCACAGCCACACACAAAGTTCTTCACTAGAGTGAAGACGCAACGCTCACTATTTAGGCTACAGCACTGACCTTTGACCTGCAGCAGGACTTGTTTCTTCATCAGGATGTCTCTCCCTGCTGTAGACGGTGCAGGTGTAGGTGTTACTGTTGTAGTTTGTGGGGTATTTCAGGGTCAGACTGAGGTCTCCAGGTCTCTGCAGGTTTTTCTTCATCTCTGTTCGGCCTCTGTAAAAACTGTGCTGTTCTTCAGGCTGGTCAGAGCCGTTCTTATATACGTGGACCGTCATGTTGTAACTGTTCCTCCACTCCACTGTGACGTCTTCAGGCAGGTGAACTGTGGTTTTGCAGGGCAGCAGGACAGACTCCACCTCTGAATCCACCTCCACCTGGTAGACTGAGAGGACAACAAAGCACAACATCAGCTGTACAGACAGCAGCAGGAACTCTGAAATATGTCCCATTGTTCCATCTAACAGAGACAGTGTTGTCTTTGGTGTCTCTACAATCAACAGCACAACTGACTGTTTATTAAATCACTGAGTATTATTGTCAGAGGGACTCAATCAAATCTTTATTAAAGTTAGAATCTGAAGGTTTTCATTAAATAAATGTCTGTTCAGTCACTGTCTATCGTCTAATGAGGTAACACAGTGCTGACTGAGCCTGCGGCCCACTGATCAAAGTACTGCAGTATTTACATATCTGCAGTATTACCAAGGGAAAAACTGCAGTATTAAGTTGCAGCACAGAGCAGATGAACCAGGCAGGAAGTCAGACACAGAACGGCAGAGAGAATCCGGTGGATTTTCAAAATAAAAGACCCTGTGCAGACTCCTGATGGCATATCAACAATAAACACAGTTAAAACCAGAGCTTGAAGTGGGCCGGAACGCCCCGGGACGCAGTACTGGCTCCTCCACATTTTACTCTTTGGCGTACCGGGACATTTTCTTGCGTACCGGGACTTCTCCCGAGCTGCCGGTCCTCTCCTCTGCCCTCTCCAGGTCAGGTTGGTGACGCTCACCTGTTCCCCTTTTCTTCTGCCTGCTCTCTGTCGGCGGAGAGACGAGGGACAAGAGAAGCTCTTCTATGGCGAGTGGACAGTGTCAGAGCGAGGATCACCATCATATATTATCCCAGTCAATAAATGAAGGATGGGAGGCTTGAACTTCAAGTTGTCTCTGATATCTATAATGCAACAGTGTAGCTTCATTTCATGGTCAATTAAATTACAAACATTACATCATCATATTGTTGAAGTTGTAGCTATAGTCTATTAACAAATAAATGTAAAAACACACTCCATGTTATATTTTAGTAGGTAAACCCCACAATTAATTGAGTTTTTGCAGCCTAATAAAAGACCAGGGCCGTATTTATCAAGCTTCTCAAAGTGTGAAGTGCTGAGATTTCATGAAATTTCCTCCTACTTTTAAACTGAAGAATCAAATTTCTCAAAGCTAAGATTCACTCTTAGTTATTTAAGCCAGCTCGAGAGGTCTCAGGCGGTCAGGAGCTGCCAGTAGGGCTTGTGATGGCGCTGTGGAGACAGAGACATGCGGAGAGGAGAGGAAGGATTCTGACGACGCGCAGTTAATAAGACTGAGTCGGACAGCGCAGGCAGAATCTTTGTCAGCGAGTTGGTGAGGGACGTCATCTCATCACTGACTTTACGCAATAATGCGTTTTCAGTTAAACTGAAGGTGGTGATGACGCTTCGTTTATTTGCCGCAGCAATGCTGATGATTTTGGCCCGTCACAACCATCAACAATAGCTGTGGAAACAATTTTAGCACTTACAGCTCCACACACTGTCACGTTTCATCGACTTCCCAACAACCCCCCCGTAATCCCACAGACGCAAACACAGTTCATGCAAATAGCAATACAGGAGCACTATAGGCACATTTGATGGCGCTCATATAAAGAGACACTTTTTAATCTTTCATTTATTAATGTGAAGGCCTATATCATAATGTATTATCTTGAAAAACCTTTATTGTTAAATATAAACTCCTCTGAGGAATTTCACCAGAATATAAAGAAGGAAATCTCTTCAGTGATTGGTCCTCGGCTACATCGTCATCCAAAATCCTGTTAGCGGCGCAGCAAAGTGTCGTGAATCAGCACTGAGACTGACACTTAAGATTTAGTCCTACACTTCACTCAAATTAGGACTATGATGCTTGATCACTAACTTTTAAGCTTTGAGCCAAGAATGTTTTTACTCTTAAGTCGGTTCTTAGCAGCGTTCTTATGAGTAATTCTGAGAAGCTTGATAAATACGGGCCCTGGTCCAAAGCTAACAAAGTTTCTGGAAGGAAAGACTATTGCAGATTTCATCCACTAGATGGAGCCACAGCCTTGTAATGTGCAGCAAATACACTAACTTGAAGTGCTGTAGTTAAAGTGCACAAACTTTTAATTTACAGATTATTTAGACTATTAACTGAACAAAACATAATACAACCTTGTTCATAAGATTTTGACATCGTATTAAGTTTTGATGTGAGTTTTCCAGGCCCTTGTCTTGTCAGAATAGGCCTTGTGCTGCGTGTTTAACCATTTGATGTGTATGTGGGCATGGCGGTGTGTTCGGTTTGTGGGTGTGATGTAGTTTTAGTGTATAAACAAGTTCAAAGCAGACCAGCGGAAACAGTGATAGCTGCCATTAACGTGGCCAAGTTGTTTCTACACTTTCCTTAAGCATCTAGTTTCAGAGTCCATGAACTTTGGCTGAACAATTGCTGCTACTGCTGTTCGTGAAAAGTTTTTATAAGCAAATGTAAACTTATTAGGGATAGTCTGTGCTACTGCAAAGGTATTAGCAACATTTTAACCATGACAGAGAAAGATCAAGAGGTGAATTTGTGCTTTATACTTTGTCAATTACAGCGAGCCAGGCAGCCTTCTGTGTTTGAGAACTGGAGGGCTGCAGCGCCGCAATAACCACGCTGGTTAAAATGAACGAAATGACACAAAAAAAGATTAGAGTTCATTTTAATGAACGAGATTTGGTGACTCGAGTCAAAAGAGTGAGACTGGCACTGGTTAAAACAGACAAAAAGAAACAGTTTCACTACGACGCTACTGAACCAGAGTAGAAGCACAAACATCAAGGACAACTGAACAAATAAGCAAAATCTGAACAAGTCAGCAAAATCAGGCAGGCAAAACGCTCTTATTGTGAAATTCTCCGTGTGGACACAAGATGACAGATTAACAACACGTTAACAACACGGGGCAGCTAAACACTGCGCTGCTGAAACACTTCAGTGTGAGTTCACACCGGACAAACCTGCAGCACAGCCTGTGTCGCTTCATTAACACCTTTTCCTCTGGTTTCATTTGTTGCTGTAAAATGTTCACGCCCTGTGCCCGCTCTGATTGGTGAGCAGATCTGTCGCACAAGGACGACAACAGAATGAACCTGTAGCTGCACGACTGGTTAAAAACCGTAGTAGTGTGGATGTAGCCTCACATCACTCCTCTCTCTGCTCCTCTCATGTCGCACATTTCTGTTCTCACCCGCTGTCCTCCGTTAAATGTTTCCCCGTAAATCTCCCGTATCTTTAACCTTTATGAAAGCAAATAAAAACCGTCCAAATGTTCATGTTCATTTGTGCCACGGTTGGTTTACATGTGTTCTTCCTTACATAAGGGAAACAGGCTGAGGTGTTTGACGCTCAGATGGAGCGCAGAGTGGAGACGCTGTCAGGAACGAGTATGAAATTTCTGTGATACGTGTGTCATGGCCAGACGCACAAAAAAGCCTCTTGGAGCCATTGCCTAAACCCAACAGGAAATCGGCCATTTTGGATTTAATGGTCATTTTTCACGATTCACACACTCTGTATTTCTTCCTAGAGAATTAGTCCAATCGACTTCAATTTTGCTGTGCAGTCTAAACCCATTCACGATTAAAAGTTTACAAACGGTGAGTTTTCGTGGAACGACATGGCCATGGCGTGTTGTCCAAAATCGATGGTTTGTCATAAAACAGTAAGTTGTTGTAACTTCAGTCCAGATGCTCAAATCTGCACCAAATTTGGAATGAACTATAAGATTCCCGCCCTGAACACATCCACATGCCAATATTCACTTTAAGTCACAGAGTCACACAGAACGCTGCTGCTTGAGTCCTCACTAAGACCAAAAAAGTTGTGTTTACATTGGCTGCCTGTCTGTCAGAGAATTGATTTCTACCAATACTGCTTTTGGTTTATAAAGCACTGAATGGTTTAAGGCCAAAATACATTGCTGCTGCTACGTTATGAACCATCTTGAACCTGACATGGCCACTTGTGATCACCGTGGAATCAGTAAAAGGCTAGTGATCCCAAAAGGACTCCTGTCAATCAATCAATCAATCTTTATTTATATAGCACTTTTCATACAAATACATGTACACACTGTAGAACCATTTAAAATAGTTAAAATACTAAAACATGAAATAAAAAGCAGGTCAAGCCCAACAATCAATCCCCGCCCCACCCAAAATACAGCTCAGTTAAAAGCTTGGTTAAATAGGTATGTCTTTAGTTTGCCTTTAAACATGTCCAGATTCCCTGCTGCTCTCAGCTCAACAGAAGGGAGTTCAACAAACGCAGGCCATAACATTGAAAGGATGCCTCACCGTAGGTTTTAGTTGAGGCTTTAGGAATAATTAGAAAGCCACTACCAGAGGACCTGAGGGTTCTAGTAGCTTCAAAAGGTAAAAGCAAATCTGCTATGTATTCTGGACCAATACCATTAAATGACTGATAAAGTAGTAAAAGGATTTTAAAATTAACTGGAAGCCAATGCAGAGACTTTAGGATAGGGGTAATGTGTGTTCTCTTTCTGGTCTTAGTAAAAAGACGTGCAGCAGAGCTTTGAACCAGCTGCAGTTTAGAGATTTTATTTTTCGGAAGACCAGAAAGCAGAGCATTACAGTAATCAATCCTGGAAGTAATAAAAGCATGGATAAGTGTCTCAATCTTTGCTTGAGAGAGAAAGGGTCGTACTCTAGCAATGTTCTTGAGATGATAAAAAGCGGTCTTAGAAATATTTCTAATATGTGACTCAAAACTGACATCTGAGTCAAAGATAACTCCCAGGTTTTTCACGTTATCACAAGGACTTAGTGCCAGCATTCGCAATTTCATTTTAAGTTTCTCCGTCTGAGATTCAGAACCAATGACCAATACTTGTGTTTTGTCCTGATTGAGCTGCAGAAAATGTTCTGCCATCCATGACTGTATGTGTAGGAAACAATTAAAAAGAGCGTCTACTGGTCCTGGGTCATCAGGGGACACAGCAATGTATAGCTGGGTGTCATCAACTGTGAAAATTGATGCTGTGGCTCCTGATGACGTCTCCAAGCGGCAGCATGTACAAATTAAACAGGGTCGGGCCTAAGATTGAGCCCTGTGGGACACCACAATTCATTTTATGTCTTCTAGAAAGAGAATCATCAATACACACAAAGAAATCTCTATCAGTGAGATATGATCGGAACCAATTAAGAACAGTTTGTTTCCGTCTGTTTAGAAGAACTGAGTGATCTACTGTATCAAAAGCTGCACTTAGATCAAGTAGCATTAATATTGATGTTTTTTTCATATCCATGTTCCATCTAAGATCATTAACAATTTTTATCAATGCTGTCTCAGTACTGCGATTGGTTCAAAAACCAGACTGGTATTTATCATAAATATTTTGGGAGTTAATAAAATCGTTCAGCTGATTAAAAACAACTTTCTCTAAAATTTTACTTTTTTGCAAATCTGTAGTTATTGAGTACCGTAACATCTAAATTATTCTTCTTCAGAAGGGGCTTCACCATAGCATAGTTCACAATGGTCAAAAGATACTCACTAAAAAAGGCATAATGTGTTTTAAAAAGAGAAGTCGGGATGAGATCTAACAGGCAAGTTGTTGGTTTCAGTAGAGTAACAATTTTACAAAGCAGGCCAGCGTCAACCAGGTCAAAACTATGCAATGTATCCCGGATGTAGATAGAGGATCCACTTTATTAAAATGTACCTGCCGATGTAGTGATATATTTGACCTAATAGAATCTATTTTACTTCTGAAGTGGAGCGCAAAGTCTTCACATTTGGAGTTTGTTGACATGCTGCTAGGTTTTGTTAAAACAGGGTTAATTAAACGATCAATTGTTGAGAAGAGAACTTCAGGGTTGTTCTGGTTGTCACTCCAATACTCAGTGAACACTGCAGTAGTTACACATAGGAAGGTGAATTGGTAAGAGGTGTCTGACTGATTGTGGTGGGCCTCCTGGGATCAAAATCCCCAGGCTGATTTTTCGTCCCGGTCCAGCCCTGGACATGCGTAACTATTTTCTACATCTACAAGTTCCACTGTTACAGGTGTTCAGTAGCTTTGCTCCAATAATACCTTTATAATAATATCTATACTGGAAAGTGAAGTAGTAGTGACATACCTGACATGAAATACTGTCGGAAATGTACCAGAAGAGCCCCAGCAACAACCAGGAGAACCAGGAGAACCAGGAGAACTTTGGCCCAGGATGGAAATTGTTCTGTGGAAACAAGAAACAAAAAGAACATGACCTCTGACCTCTGACCTGTATCTACAGCAGGTGTTATGGTTTATTGCTGACCTTTGACCTGCAGCTGGATGTTTCTCACTCTCAGTTGTCCTCCTAAACCTTTGGCAGTGCAGGTGTAGCTGCCGCTGTCGGACCAGTGGAGTTTTGTTAGGTTCAGGCTGAGGTCTCCAGTTTCCAGAGCGTCAGTCATCATGGATGTTCGGCCGCTGTAAAGCTGGTTTTGGTCTTTAAGTTCATCACCTTCCTGCTGACGCTGGTGGATGGTTGGAGGATCGAGATCGTAGCGGCTCCACACCACTGTGGGGTTGTCCATCTCAAAAGTCTGAAACTCACAGGGCAGCAGGACAAACTCCTCCCTGTCATACAGCTCCACAGCTGAGGCATGCTGGGAAACTTTGAGGTCACAGAGAAAGAGAGGTTTAATCACAACCACACTGACTTCTGACCTGTATCTTCAGCACTTGTTAGGGTTTGTTGCTGACCTTTGACCTTCAGCTGTATGTTTCCCACTCTCCGTTGTCCTCCTAACCATCTGACAGTGCAGGTGTAGGTGCCGCTGTCAGAGAGCTGGAGTTTTGTCAGCTTGAGGCTGAGGTCTCCAGTTTCCAGAGCGTCAGTCATCATGGATGTTCGGCCGCTGTAAAGCTGGTTTTGGTATGTGAGTCCTTCACCTTCCTGCTGACGCTGGTGGACGGTTGGAGGATTGAGATCATAGCGGCTCCACACCACTGTGGGGTCATCCAGGTCAAAGGTGTTAAACTCACAGGGCAGCAGGACAAACTCCTCCCCCTCATACAGCTCCACAGCTGAGGTATGCTGGGAAACTGTGAGGTCACACAGACAGAGGTTCAATCACAGCAGCCTTATTTCATGTCTTATTCCTCCTGGATCCTCAGGTGACCCAGAAACCAACCTGGTCCTGTCTGTGATTGGACGCTGCAGCTGATCAGCTGCTGTGAAACCACATCATCAAAGTTTAAAACCAACATCAGCTGACAAATAACAGAAGCACCTCAGCTGTCATGTCATGGATCTGGAAGGGAGCCACTGCCTGGAACCTCTGACTTCCCCTGCTCATTCTCTTTTTTGAATAAACTGTCTTTTACTCAGATCTGCGTTTGGGTCTTCTCTGCCTGGAAAACCTGACACATAATCAAGGCAACGATTTCTTAAACCTATAGGATTTATTTAACTCAAAAATAGATCAACAATCAATAACTTTACCAAGTAAATCACTATTACCTATTCTACTCAAAAATGAATAAATTCAAGGCAAGTTTATTTGTATAGCAAATTTCAACAACAAGGCAATTCAAAAAACATAAAAGCAGCAATGGGAGGTTGGGAAAAAGACTAAAACAGAAAATAAAACAGGATAAATAAATTTTAGTTAAATAGGAAATAAAAACATGGTCTTAGTGAGGACTCGAGCAGCAGCGTTCTGAATCAGCTGCAGCTGTCTGATGGATTTCTTAGGGAGCCTGTAAGGACACCGTTACAGAAGTCACGTTGACTGAAGATAAATGCGTGGATAAGTTTTTCCAGGTCTTGCTGAGACATAAGTCCTTTAGTCCTTGATATATTCTTCAGGTGATAGTAGGCTGACTTTGTAATTGTCTTAATGTGGCTCCTCAAATTCAGGTCTGAGTCCATGACTACACAAAGATTTCTGGCTTGATTTGTGGTTCTTAACATTTGTAATGGGAATTCCAAACATATTTCATGTAACCCTGGACTAAGGGAGACTCATTTGTGAGGTGGCACTGAATCTGTGTAAACGCAGCAGTCAAAATATCTCCGTTCTCTGTGTTATCCATACTTCAGGGACAATGTGTCTCTGTGGGATGATATTATTGACCCTAAAACTGGATAAATAACAGGCTCACAGAGCTCTCCTCACTAATTCGAGCATACATGTACACGTCGTATGTGTGTTGCTGTGAGTCCGTCTGCAGAAGACTGGAATAAAATTCACAGAAAGACAAGTGTTTGCCTGAGCTGTAAATTTAAACACACTTTTTCCCACCACAATTTTGACGTTGTCGGCTCGCGTGAGAGGACTCGGGCTGAAGGTGAAAAACCGTACAGCCAGAGTTTGAGACTCTGGGACTTCAAACCTCCCCTCCAAAATACGGGTGAGACATTGAGGGCCTGACGCCTGAGTGTCCGAGGCTCCCTCACAGCTGTGATCCATAAGAACCTGATGGCTGGCAACACTCTCTTTTTGGTGAGTAGACTGTTCAAGTGGAACGATTCTCACTACCTCTCAGGGTAAGCGTGACAGACGTGTCAACAGGACAGGCCTGGGGCCGCTGTGTGAATCGACAAAGCTTTGTGTTAAAGGTCAAGAAATCACTGTGGGACGGTGGATTTCTTATAGATCTGGGACCTACTGTTGCATAGTTTTTGGGTCTGTGACCGTCAGTAAAATAGAGGAGTGTGTGTCAAAAACTCGCGCTGACCCTCTAACTTCAATAACTTCCGTCCTATATCCAATTTACCATTCATTTCCAAAATTCTTGAAAAAACACTTGCCTCTCAACTCCATCTTCATCTATTCCACAATAACCTGTCTGAACAGTTCCAGTCCGGCTTCCGTCCACTTCATAGCACTGAAACAGCACTCATCAAAATCACCAATGACCTCCTTGTGGCTGATTCTGGACTACTTACCATTCTCATCCTCCTCGACCTGAGTGCAGCCTTTGATACTATCTGTCACTCTGTTCTCCTCAACAGATTATCGGTAGGCAGGCAGAAAGATAACTGGGGGAACAGAAGGAACACTTGACAGGCAGACATGGGGCAGAATAAATAACCAACACAGACAGAACACATGTAACAAAATAACGGACAAGGATCGAACTTCAGACAATAACAGAAAACCAAGGAAAAGGACAAACACTGACCAACTATAACACAGGGATCATAACAGACAAAACCTAAATGAGAACACAGAGTACCGAGCAACCTAAACCCAAAAGATGCAGAGAAAGAACTATAATCAAATACTACGCCAAGAACTAAAACACAGGACTAGGTACACAGACATGGAACAAAAACCCAGACTCCCCAACAAGACACACAGACACGCTCAGGACAGGATCGTGACAACATCAGTCCTGTTTCACAGCTTCACTATTCCCGGTCCTGTCCCGTATCCAATTCAAAGTCCTTCTGTTAACATTCAAAGCCATCCACAATGTTGCCCCTCCGAATTTGTCTGATCTCCTGCAGGGTCCAACTTCCTACCGCTCCCTTAGATCCACCTTCCTCCATACAGCTGTCTGTCCCCTCTGCTCGTCTCACCACAAAGGGGAGCAGAGCATTCAGCCACTCTGTCCCCGTCTCTTTACCACCCCAACTTAGAAAGATCAATTCATTCTCCCATTTTAAATCGCAACTCAAAACATCTGTTTAAAACTGCGTACCTCATTTGATGTAAAATTTGGTTTTTGCTTTTAGCTTGTTTTAATGTTCTATTTTCTAGTTTTGCTGCTTTTAAATGTTTTTGCATCCCTGTACGGTGTCCTTGAGTGCCGAGAAAGGCGCCTTAAATAAAATGTATTATTATCATTATCCTGCGCACAGGAGAGAGAATTATACATGACATTCCATCAAACTCATTTTGACAGCTATTTCCGGTCCACCCCCCACACCGGATGTCTGTATGTAACTGATAAGAGGGGTGCGTACATCCTTCCATTGTGTGTTTTTGACTGATAATTGGAGGAGGTTTTTCATTGATTTAAAGACTTTATTAAGTAATAAAACTTGAATGAATTAACTAGTAGGTGTTTAGGACAATAAATTTATCATTAAAAAAGTATAGCAGTGAGTTATAAGTAAAGGAGGAATCTCCGGGGCCAGCAAAGGATCAGTAGGAGGTTTCTTCATTGATTTGGAATCAAGTCAGTCTTTATTATTAAACAAGTGAAGAATAAATTGAAATAATGACAGTAAAGCAGTAAAATGGTATAACGGTGAGCATTATAAATTACCTTCAACAGCATGCAGCAAAACAAGAGTGAGTTCCAAAATTAAACTTAAATTAAACTAGCATTTGAATACTTCATCCCCAAGGGAAGGGTTCTGGATTTCATGACCTCTGTAATAGTCTAATAAACCCTAATTAGCAAAAGGCAGCTGGTTCTCAGTAGAAGGATCAAACTTTAGCTCTTGAAGTTTCCAGTTGATAAAGTTGTAAACTATAATTTTTTATAATTCTAACTTTTTTTACTAAAGGGAAAGAGGAGGCCTATTAGCATGACTAGTGACTTAGTTATGAGTAAGGCTTTAGTTTAGAATGAGGGACATTGTCTATATGTTACTGAGACTAAATTTAGAGTTATTTGCACGCTGTTAACACTTGTAGTTTTGGGTTTTTTGAATTGTCCTTATTTTGTAAGTGTAACTAAAAATGAAATATTTAGTTTGGATTACAATATTCTCTTAATAGAAATATCCCATTATTTTATTCCTCCATGCTGGAGTGTCGCTCCATGCTAGCTAAGAAGGAACTAAGAGGGAACTCCGTGTCATTACATGCCAGCCAACAATGGACGTTTCTGTAATGCAGTCAATAAATAAAGTGCAATCCTATAAAATTTAGACTGAAGTACATTGCAAAATTGATAGAAATCTTGTCTATAACTGGTCAATTTCATTTCACAATATTTGGGGACAGAATTATTCCAAAGGTTTAGTAAAAGTTGATAAACCTGTTTTAGTGATTACTTATAAAAAAATAGGATCATGCTGCTGAGCATTTTTTAATTTATAATTATGAAGAGCAAATACAAAATAAGATAAAGATGAAGACCCTTTTAAAAAGGCCTACTTCACCATTCCACAAAGGTCATAAAAATGACCAACCACCACAGACAAACCTGAAGAGAAAGTTTAAATGACTGCACTAGTGTAATAAGACATTTTATATAATTGAACCCTGGATAAAGTACCTTTTGCTGCTAATACTGCAATCTTTGATATTTGTGCATGCATCCAAGTTATTTCTGAATAACAGATAAAACTGTAAATTCTCAATAAAGTTGCCCTGAATATTTTTGTATCACAGAGAAATGTTTAAATATTACTAACACTGATGTTAAAATTTTCCATTTTTGAAAGAAACAAGAAGTCTTTAAGAGATACAAACACTCATTAGCTGAAAAAAATTCCCCGCATGGAGGTCCCCTCTTTGGTAGTTAGATACTGCTCAAGGATCCAAGTGCCCTCTTGGTAATTTCTTGAAGACAATGTTCTCGTTTTATTTTCACAGACCCCATCATTGGCCTATGGTAACCCCTCCTAGTCTCTTATCATTGGCTCACGGTAACTCTGCCCACCCTCTTATTTTGTATGTGACAGCATGTGGGAGCATGTGTTATATAGTCTGTAGTTCCAAACTCTTGTCTGCGGCTGATAAAACGAACTCTGTCTGATAAAACCAGACCGTTTTTTAACAACCGGAGTCTGGGGTTATAGATAACCATAGTTAATAACTGGTCTACAAGATTACCTGAAGATGACATTAAACACACAACACGACTCATTGAGAAAGCAGAGGGAGGTGCGGGGGGTGGAGCACATTCCTCAATTCACCCTGCACAGCCTATGCTACACCAGAAAGAGAGAGGACAGAGAAGAAGAGACACAGACTCACAAGTTTAAGACTAGGCTACAGCTTTGGAGTGATAATGATGGCAAGTGTGTAAGACAAAGCACTAGCAAAGTAATTTGGAACTGTCTCTTATTTTGCTGCATGCTGTTGAAGGTAATTTAAAAATCTGTTTAATTTTAACTCACTGTTTTACTGTAATTA